AATTTTGGGATGATTCGTTGTCTATTCAGGTATTCCACAGATGCAGCATACATCAAGTTGATTGTGGAGATTTAATCCACTGCTCCTGAGGCTGCGGGGAGAGATTTCCCTTTCTCTTCTGTGTTTGCACAGCTCCCGGGGTTCAGCTTTGGATTTGGCCCTGCCGCTGCATGTAGGTCGCCTGAGGGCGTCTGTTTCCACCCAGACAGGACAGGGTTAAAGTAGCAGCTGATTAGGGGGCTCCGGCTCACTAAAGCCAGGGGGAGGGAGGGGTATGGAATGCGGAGCGAGCCTGCAGTGGCAGAGTCCGGCATGACGTTGCAACAGCCTGAGGCACACTGTTCTCCCGGGGAAGTTGTCCCTGGATCACGGGACCCTGGCAGTGTCGGGCTTCACAGGCTCCCGGGAGGGGAGGTGTGGATAGTGACCTGTGCTTGCACACAGGCTTCTTGGTAGCTGCAGCAGCAGCCTTAGCATTTCATGTCCATCTCTGATGTCCACGCTGATAGCCACGGCTCGCGCCAGTCTCTGGAGCTCATTTAAGTGGTGCTCTGAATCCCCTTTCCTCGGGCACCCCGAAACAACGGTCTCTTGCCTCTTAGGCAGTTCCAGAGTTTTTCCCTGACTCCCTCCCAGCTAGCTGTGGCGCACTAGCCCTCTTCAGGCTGTATTCACGCAGCCAACTCCAGTCCTCTCCCTGGGATCCGACCTCCGAAGCTGGAACATCAGCTCCCAGCCCCCACCCGCCCCGGCGGGTGAGCAGACAAGCCTCTCAGGCTCATGAGTGCCGGTCGGCACCGATCCTCGTGCGGGAATCTCTCCGCTTTGCCCTCCGCACCCCTGCTGCTGCGCTGTCCTCTGCGGCTCCGAAGCTCCCACCCCCCCCCCCACCCCCCCCAGTCTCCACCAGTGAAGGGGCTTCCTAGTGTATGGAAACTTTTCCTCCTTCACAGCTCCCTCCCAAAGGTGCAGGTCCCATCCCCATTCTTTTGTCTCTGTTTTTTCTTTTTTCTTTTGCCCTACCCAGGTACATGGGTAGTTTCTTGCCTTTTGGGAGGTCTGAGGTCTTCTGCCAGCATTCAGTAGGTGTTCTGTAGGAGTTGTTCCACATGTAGATGTATTTCTGCTGTATTTGTGGGGAGGAAGGTGATCTCCACATCTTACTCCTCCACCATCTTGAAGGTCCCCCTAGCTACTATGTTTTTTACTCTTAAGAAACACATGAAATTTAAGAAAACCTTAAATTTTCTAAAATATACCACAAGGTATTAATTACTCACTGAAGTACCAAAGCCCTATACCATGTTGGATTTATAGAGTGAAAGTCTCCCAAAATGTTTTATAAATTAATTGGCTGTTTTATAAATATAATAATCTTTATCTTTATTTGGGGAGTTATTATTCCTATTTTGAATATGGAAAAAGGGAACAGGTTGACCTCAGCCTTATAAAAGGCTATCAAGTTGTACAGATAGTCTAGCTAATTTTCTCAACTTTACAAGCGGAGGAGGACTGTGTAAATTCTCTCCATCAGTCCTTGAATGTTAAATTTAAATGTTTATTGAGCATCTAGCTTGTGCCAGACATAATGTTGAACATTAAGCACACAACAGTGGGAAAAAATATGGTTCTATCCTCATAAAGCTTCTTCTGCTGTGAGAGACAGATGTTAAACATTTAATTACACTTGTGATCAGGATCACATGTGGCTCTCAGAGTATGTATCAAGAGGCTTGATCTTGAGTGGGGAAAACTTCCCTGAGGAAGTCATGTTTCAGCAAAACTCTGAAGGATGGAAAGAACTACTTACATTAAAAGCACATGAAATGAATGGTGCAAGCAGAAGGTACAGTCATGATGAAGGAACTGGGCACATTCAAGGAACTGAAAGAGCAGACTAGAAACTTTAAAAAAACAAAGCATAGGGCTTCCCTGGTGGAGCAGTGGTTGAGAGTCTGCCTGCCAATGCAGGGGATGTGGGTTCGTGCCCGGTCCAGGAAGATCCCACATGCCGCGGAGCGGCTGGGCCCGTGAGCCATGGCCGCTGAGCCTGCGCATCCGGAGCCTGTGCTCCGCAACGGGAGAGGCCACAACAGTGAGAGGCCCGCGTACCGCAAAAAAAAAAAAAAAAAAAAGCATAATAAGATATAGATGGGGCAGATTGGCAGGATCTTGTTGATAGTTGTTAAGGATTGGGACTTATCTCATTGACTCTTTACAGTTTTAGACACAATAGGAAAATTAACAACTTGATTTTTTAAAATGAGCAGAAGATCTGAACAGATTCCTCACCAGAGAAGATAATATAGATGGCAAATAAGCATATTAAGAGGTGCTTTGCATCATATGTCATTAGGGAAATGCAAATTAAAACAATGAGATACTACTACATACCTATTAGAATGGCCCAAATCCAGAACACTGACAACAAGAAATGTTGGCGAGGATGTGGGACAATGGGAACTCTCATTGACTGCTGGTAGGAAAGCAAAATGGTACGGTAGTCACTTCAGAAGACAGTTTGGCAGTTTCTTATAAAACTAAACATACTCTTCCCACACCATCCAACACTCATGTTCCTGGGTATTTACCCAAATGAGTTCAAACCATGTCTACACAAAAACATGCACATGGATATTTATAGCAGCTTTATTCATAATTGCCAAAACACAGAAGCAACCAGACGTCCTTCAGTAGTGGATATCAGCAACCAGGGTATCCAGACTGTGGAATATTATTCATCACTAAAAAGAAATGAGTTATCAAGCCATGAAAAGACATAGAGGAAACGTAAATGCATATTACTAAGTTAAAGAGCCAATCTGAAAAGGAGGCTACATACTGTATGATTCCACCTATACAATATTCTGGAAAAGCCAAAACTGTGGAGACAGTAAAAAGATGATTGCCAGGGGTTAGGGGAAGGGAGAGATGAATAGGTGGAGCACAAAGGATATTTAGAGCAGTAAAACTGTTCTGTATGATACTATAATTGTAGATACACGTCACTATACATTTATCCAAACCCATAGAATGTACAATGAGTGAAACCTAATGTAGACTCTGGATTTTGGGTGATAATGATGTGTCAGTGTAGGTTCATCAGTTATAACAAATGTACCACTCTGGTGGGGGATGTTGATGGTGGAGGGGAGGCTAGAGGAACAGGGGTACGTGGGAACTCTGTACTTTCTTCTCAATTTTGCTTTAAGCGTAAAACTGCTCTAAAAATAAAGTCTATTTTTTAAAAAAAGTTTTAGGAGGGAAATTCATGAACATATTTGTAATTTTAATAGATCACTCTAGCTGCAGTGACCCATGTGGATGAAGATAAAGAGCAAAAATGGGTGCAGAAGAACTTAACTGCAATGGTCCAGGTGAGAGCCTGGTACTAGTTTGGTCTAGCATGGTGTCAAAGGAGAAAGTGAAAACATGCGGGCCCTAGAGAGAGGCACGTTTCTGTGCCTAAATAAATCAATGAACTGCTTACCCTTAGTTTCCTCACATATTAAAAAAGAGAGGGGGGGCGCATTGGGGGTTGCCCAAGGGGCTTCATGATTTAGGAAGAACCTATCACTGAATTATATGTAAGGCAAACCAGAATTAACTGAGCATTTGATACAGTTTTCTTTTGTAATGGCAGCCCTGCATTAGACAAGAGCCATCAGGCAGATTATGATTTTTATGAGAGAATTTAAAAAATAATTTCTGAGGACTCTTTAAATATAATGATCCATTATTTTAGTAATAATCCTAATTGCAGTGATAGTGACCAATAAATATCATAATGCAATCAAACACCTAAAATGGAAATTTCTAGAAACCAATAAAAACATAGTGTTATTTTGAGTTGGATTTTTCTTTTGTTTATATTTCCAACTTTGAGTCTTACTTGGTAATCCCTGTGTAACTTTAACAGAGTTTTTTTTTGTTTGTTTTTTGCGGTACGCAGTCCCCTCACTGCTGTGGCCTCTCCCGTTGTGGAGCCCAGGCTCCGGACGCGCAGGCTCAGCGGCCATGACTCACGGGCCCAGCCGCTACGCGGCATGTGGGATCTTCCCGGACCGGGGCATGAACCCGTGTCCCTTGCATCGGCAGGCGGACTCTCAACTATTGTGCCACCAGGGAAGCCCTTTAACAGAGTTTTATAATCTTTGGACAGGTATTATTATTCATATATAATGTTCATAATATATTATAACGTTCTTAATGTTCATAATATGTTAATATTTCTATTTCATCACCACTGTCTCATTCCTGTTCCTGTTTTCACTGAATGAACAGAAGTAAAAGATGAGAGAGATTTGAGACACCAAAATAATATCTCCAAGGTCTTGGCTTATTCCATTTCCTAATCTCCCAGGAAAGCTCTTCTAAAAATATTAACATAAAAGTCTGTTAAGGGGTATGGGCGAAAAACTGCTAGATAATTAGAGCTAAAAGCTCACTGGTCAGCTAAGTCTTGACAAAGAACACGTCTGAGTTTAATAAAATATTTGCATAATTAAAAGACTGGAATAAGACAATGTATAAATCTAGAAAATTTTGCTAGAGCTGGCTAATACTTGCCTAAAGCACAAAAAACTTATTAGTTGAGACAATATTTTCCATTACTAAAGAAAAATCTGCTTTCTGTTGTAACTGAGAAAATTATTTGAGGACAATATATAATTATAATAAATGTATACATTATTTTAATATTTCATGCTTTATGCAGAATTGGATATTTAATTACTGTGATTTTTAAAAAGGTATTGTGGCTAGAAAAAAAAATACAAGTTGGTACCTAAAGTGATACCTGGCTATCCATGATATATGTGTCCAATTCCAATGTTATTTTCTTTCTCAATATTTCATCAAGGCTACATGTAGTTTTAATAGCCAAGCTATCACCTGAATACTATTAAAGAATAATCAGATCCGCTCAAACTTAATTTATATTATTTACCAAGGTAACAAATTCTAATTTTGAGGAAGATTGCTGACCATTTATGCGATCACTAAGAACTAATATTTGGCTTATAAATTCTAATTTCATCTTTTGTACACTGAGGAAAAAGATTAACAATTTTATCCACATCAAGATGCTTGTTTTGAAGGATTGATTCCATCTCTTTGAATAGTTCCTTCTCCAGTTTGCTCATGTTGTCCAACATTGTTTTGGCTTTTTCCTGAACAATTAAAAAATAAAAATAAATAAATACACAGATACACATGTGTGCATGAGCACACATGCACACACACGAGTCTAACAAAATTCCAAACCACCTCTACAGACAAGGTTTGTTCATTCTGGTTTCAACTTCTGGTTCGGTTCCCCTTCTCCTATTCTTTAGATAAAGAAAGAATGAAATTCTTTGGGAAAAATCATTGTTCTACATTAAGTTAATCTATTAACCACAAGCTATTAGTTATTTTTAGTAGAAAATACAATAGCAATTATGTAGTATTAGTCTATACGCAAGAAACTTAAAAGACAAATAACAGGTCAATTGAAAATTTGATATTAATTGTGGATGGGGAAGGTTGCTGAAAACTGAAGCTGAAATATTTTCATGAATTTGGATCTTCTACATTTAAAACCAGCATTATCAGATTAAACAAAGGAAATAGAACAGTGACGTTCAAGGGAAAGA